TGCCTCCTCGGCCTCACCGCCGCCCGGGCAGGCCGCCATCCTCCGCCAGCAGCACGGGTCAGGTAGGGCGCGGGGCGCGGGTGGGGAACCCCTTCTGCCCCGCCCGGCCGTGGCTCCCGAGTCCCGCCGCTCGCTTTAGGGTCGGGCCCCGCGACCCGCCTCTGTCCGGGGTGCGAGGGTCGCCGCCATGCGAACGCTGGGTGGTTGCACCTAAGGCGAAGTAGATGTACGTTGTCCCAAAAGACAGGGCCGGCGCACGGCGCCCCGCCTTGTCAGAAGCTAGCGCAGAGGCGTGGGGCTGGGACCGGCTTCCTTTCGGTAGGTGCTGTGGGAGGCCCCACTGCCAGAGTGTGTGTCCCCCCTGCGGCTTTTTGGACACGGTGCTTTAAACAGTAGCTGCAGCCTCCAGTGAGCGAAATGCCGTGGCTGTCCAGCAGAGAATTTAAGTCAGCGAGCGGTGACAGGGGCTGTTCACCCAGGGCAGGTGTAGGGCCCATGCGGAGCAGCGTGCAGGTTTGGAAGGGACATGTCGATTGCTGTGTAATGAGCTCCACGTTTGAATTACTGGCAGGGTGAGAATTGGCAATACTATGCTCTATAATGGCGTGCAAGTGTAAATATTGTGCTAATGCCGTCTACCAGTTAATACTGTATTAAGTTATTAATGCCAGCTTACCACATTACTGCTAGCTGGAGAAGGCGGTTGTAAACCTTTTATTTATTAATGACAGCAAAGTTTGGGACAAAAGACACAGAGTCTAAAATCTGCATTTGCGAAGGTGTTTTGAGCTTCAAAGGTGTGGTGCTGCTCTGGCTGGGCTTTAGCTCCTCTCTCAGCCACTGTCACTTTGCTAACGTTGAACAAATGTCCCTGCCAAGTTATCTGCAGGAGAAGGGAAACAATTTATACAACTGACTGTGAAGGGAAAGCCCTGAGCTCCCCTCTCTGCTGACTCTCTTCTGATGCAGGTTCATAATCCTCACACAGGAATGTTCACACTTCTTCCTAATACCTCTTCACACTCTCAGGGCAAACAGTTACAGGTTTTGGCTCACAGTAATGGAAATCAGTTGTATATGGGTCACTGTGAACTGCTGGTGCTTTACAGGTTCCGCGTTTTATCTGGCTACTACCTTGTGCTGTTTCCTGAATAATTTAGTTTCTTTCTCTTGTAGAAATACATGTGAAAACTACATTTTACTCCTTATTATTCCTAAGACTAAACTGGCTGTTCTTTGGTGCCTAGCAGAAGACAAAGTGATAATTCTTGAGGTCTAAATACAGGTGCCTGTGGGCATGTAAAACAGTTCCATTTGCTTTTGCTGAATTTCACTGACCACAACAAATTAAACCAAACGTTGTAATACTCATGATCTGTTGTTTTCCTGCTGGAAAGATCTGCTTTCCTCCTAGGGGCCCAAGGTGGGTGGTTGTTTTTGTGTTTCCTCTTTCCACTCCCCAACAGTGAGAATTCTCGCAATGTTTTCCATGCTGACAATAGAAGTTGGGTTTAGGATTCGCAGCACTGTGCACCCCACCTACTGAACCCAGAGCTTACATGGTGCGTATGAACTAAAAACAGGAGGATGGAAGTGCAATGGGCTCAGTTCCATCTCAACAGATGGATGTGAGTGTGTGCCTCCAAGAGAGCATGTCGCATGTCTGTTAGGGCAAGACCCCCTGCCCAGATCATCTAAACTGCTGTCTATCCTGATTTTTTACGTGTCTGTGGTTTGGGGATGTGTCACTGCTGCATCATTTCTAGGCTGGATTAAATTCTGAAAATAAACTGTGAGCATTGTGGCCAGCAGTGAAGATAATGGAATGATTTAAATCTGAAAAAGGTAGTGGAATGCAGAAAAATATTTTGTGGGGATCTCCATATGGAGACTGATGCAAAGAGGGCTGCAAAGCAGGCTAAACCAAAATTTCCTGCTGTGACATCACTCCTGTGCACACTGGTGTCTGTGAACAGTGCCACTATGTGGCAGTTTCCGTTCAGGGAGAAAGCTGAAATGGGTGTAAAGAGCACAGGACTCCTGTTCTTGTTTATAGCACCAACTTAACAAGGTATAAACCAGCGGCCACTTTTGTGTCCATACGAGGGAGGTAACTAATTTTGTATTTCAGCATGGTCCTCTGTAAAAATAATGTGTTTTTACTCTGCTTGAATCAAGACCCCCCGAATAACAGGCCTCTACTTGGTTTATTGTAATTTCAATACCTGGGCAGTTTGGAGCTGCCTGTAATTACTTGTCAATAAAACATCAGCCACAGCATGGCTCAGGAGATGAGCAGCTGAAAGACTTAGCCCTCGAAGTTCCTGATTCATGTGCCTTCTGGACTAGAACTCTCTGAGACTTGTTACCCTGAGATGTCTCGTTGGTTGCTTTTGTGAAGCAGATTGCTGGTTGCTGTCCAGTTCCCATCACGGGTGTATTTTAGAAAGACTGTCTGGGACAGGCACTTGGTTTGAAGCAGAGAGAGACAGCTTGTTGTAGAGGCAAGAAATGGATTTTATTTCCTTAGGCATGAAGTGTTGCTCCCTACCCAGAATAAAGGCATGTGGATAAAATACTAATGTGGAAGTCAGTGTGATGAGGGCTTGCAGGGATATCGCCTGCTTTTGTGAGGAAATCAAAGTCTCGGGTCTCCAGTGCTGTCAGTTGGGTTGCTTAAGCATTTAACTTTCTTCAAAATGTCTTAAAAGAAAATTACATTCTTGAGCTTAGGAGTTTCCCATTTGTATGTTAAAGTGGTGTTCTTTAGAGTTATTTTAGGTACAGTAATTATTTTTCTCTGTAAAGAATGCAGTCTTTTTATAGGAAATACTTTTTCCCCTCCTTTTTTTTTTAATCTCTGGAAATTAGAAGCCCTGTCTAGAGTCCACCCCCTCCAGGCAGTATTGTAGCTGGTTTTCTACACAGTAGGGCTATCAAATCAAACTAAATCTTTGTTCACGTAGGTGTATAAGACTGCAGGACCTAACATGGTGTTGCTGTGTGTATTATATATATATGCATAATAACATAATGTGTATGCTTCATTATCCTGTTTCAAGCTCTGTAACACACATACAGATAAGTACTTGCACCAAATCTATGTGTAATAATTGAATCATCTAATACTCTCAAATACATCTAATACATCTAATTTTCTCTCAAAAGTCTGAGGCATTTGTAAGTCTTCATTGTACACAGGTATATTTCCTCTGTATAAAAGCAGAAATGTGCTAAAAACAATGGATTTGCCATCAGTGATTAAGAAACACTGTCATTTAATGCATTGGAGAGCTCTGCCTAAAAGCCAGTGTCATGGCACTAGCTACGGTGTCCTGCATGAATTGAGTTCTAATCTTATTTTCCTTGCAATAGAAGTCTTCCCAACATGTTCAGTGTAGTAAGACAGGGCCTCTATGTGCTTGTATTCCAATAAATGTGATTATAGATCAAATGCTGCTTTCAGATGTGCCTGCAGGGCTCTTGTTGACTTCAGTTGGAGTCCCAGTCATGCACCGTGGAAAAATGCGATTCTTTACATCTTCTAGTTGAACTGAAATGTGAACTTATTAGAGTAAATGTGTCTGTTACTGAGATTCTCTAAAGACCATAGAGTCTCATCCATAGTTCTGGACATGCCATCTGAAATTGTATTTGGTAGAAATTTGTGATCAGCGTTATAGTATATAAGGGAATAGGTCCAATGTAACAGAAAAATTGCCCAGTATGCCAGAAATATTAGCTACTCAAACAGAATTTTATCTGTAATGTTTATACTGCCATATAAAAACATAGTGCTGTGGTCTCCCAAGAGTCAAAAAGATTACTGCTTGTCTGCCAGTAAGGTAGACTGAAGTGGAAACTGAGAACGTGTTACTTAGGCTGCAAACAGGCAAAGATCTGCTGGTAAGATCATCGGTTTTAATCCTATCAGAGAATGAGTTGTTGTCCATATGATTCGGAATGAAAATAATATTTAGCTTTCAGTTTAAATAC